ATTTTTCTGAATGTGGTTGAGCACATGGAAAAGAAAGCTAGAAAGTTTAACAGGCGAAGACTACGTGGTGGCGGCGGGCGCCGCTGACAGGAGGACGCTAGATGCTCATCAGGAGTTCTCTCTTCTGGCTTCGTGGATGGGCAGTTTTCTTCTTCTTATGATCGAGAGGAGGTAGTCGTGGAGGAGGAATTGAGTGCTTGTATGTGCGTTAAGAAGGCAACGGATTGCGTAGAGGAGGAAACGAGTGCTTGTATGTGCGTTAAGAAGGCGAGTGAATGCGCATCCTTAGCGATGTTGGCTAGAAATCTAATCAATGTGGGCCTTGAGTTTCCAGTCCCATCCAGATCGGTTATATTGGTTTTCTTATCTATCAGGGTGAGGGTTCAGCACAGCCATTATTTGAAAGTGAGCAAAAACACGACCAGGAACTGTGGTAGTTCTGCATCGTTTCAATAGTAGAATAGCATAATCATCAGCATCGTCACTATGATCATCATCATCATCATCATTATTTTCTTCATCATCATCATCATCATCATCGTAGACATTGCTTCTTAGGTCTAGTCTGTTTTTGGCTTGGTACGATGATACTATTGGAACTGTGCATGCGTTCCATGTTTCTTAGATAGAGAATTCAAATTGAAAGAACGCCAATCCTCGAAAAAATGGTTTTTTATGACCTATGAACTCAATTCAAATTCTGGATGTTCAATGTTCCTTACCTTATCGTGGAGTAACAATAGAAATGAGCATCCAAGAATCTCTATATCTGAGACTTCATCTTCATTGCAATCGAAAGCGAGGCCGTCATTGCTACGAATCATGAGCGTCCTACATCTATTGTGTCAATAGGAATACTAGGGCGACATTGTAAATAGATAATGGCTAGCTTTAGACTTCAAATGTCAAATTGAAATCCCCAATCCTCGAAAAAATGACTTTTTATCGCCCATTAAGTCAATTCAAAAGCTGGGGACCCACTGCCGGCTGATTACAGTCGGCACATTTCGACTTGTGCAAAAGTATATGTGTAGTATGGCTGTAGTAACAGAGTTACATGCTAAAAGCCTCCTTGGTGCAACTAGTACTTACATGTATGCATACACGAGCCTTCTGCTCTGTGTAGTTTCTATTGCTCCGGCTGTGGTATGTACCCAATCATAATCTATCAATATTAGTAACTAGCTATGCTTATTCTGATATCTATAATGTTGACCACTACCATGCGCCTATGAGTTATGTTGGAATATGAGCGATAAGTTGTCATTTCTCTTTCCCTTTGTCCAACCAGATCCCCAATAGGAATAGCAGATGGATGAAGATGAATCTAGAGCCGCGTGATCGTCTTACTCGCCTGTGTGTGCTCATTTCTAGAGCGAATGGGCGTTTTCTGGAGTGACTGGGTGCTATCTTGGAAGAGGTTGACACGTGCGCGGAACAAGAGGATCCTTCTGGTGGTCGAGTAGTCATTCCCTCAGCCTCCTAGTTTCTCGACCATTTTAAAATCGGAGGGTTCGTAGCGAGTAGAATGATAGAGGAGTACTAAGCTCAGCCTGCCGATGAGACTCGCGGATTCTCATACTTGTTTAATGGACTTCCCAGTAAGTCACTTGGGGGAGGTGGATCAGGTTATAATGATGTTCTTGATGTTGATACAACAGGCTGTGATCCTTCTATTAAGGCTTACTCATGAAGATATTGATGTTCATGTTCCTCCCTATAGTACCCTTTGATCGTTAATTATACGTATCTGTCTTCGCAATCGTATTAATCTCGGCAAGACAGGGAAAATCATGGCTCTCAAGATGCTCAAAAGTAGACATTTATAGCTACACAAGAGGTGCCGCGACATGTTGACAGTAGAACGATTAATATCGGCAACAAGGTTTAATCCTAGTACGATCCTGAACAAAAAAATCAAGAAAGACAAGCTTGGACAGCTGCTGGCGCACCTGAGTAAAAGCGACGTTGTGCTGCTACTGGTGTGAAATATGATGAGTGACAACCTCTGTGTTGTGTTCATCATGATCATCTTTGAACGATGGTCACGCAACATTACTTGCTCCGTTCAGTGTGAATGTGATGGATCAGA